TATCGCTTTATTTTTTCGGTATTTACAATGTTCTGTCTCCAATTATCCAGTTCAATTAACGACTTCGTACCTAACAACACCTCGAAATAGAACATGTAGCTCGTTATTCCTCCTTGCTTTTATTGAATTTCCTAAATCTGCATGCCTTTATCCTCCTTTCTTTTTTCTAATTTGATATTATATATTACCAAGCTAAAAAGACACCTCAAGAGTATAAGCCTGTGGTTTCTTCTTGAGGTGCCTGCCACCCTGAGTTTACTATTCGATTTATTACTATAGCTGAATGTTTGTAAATACAATAATAACAATAGTGACAACAATAATAGTTTTAACAATCTTGCTGATACTGTATTGTAAATATTCATGTTTTTTGTGTAAAATTATTGTCTTGTAAAACTTTATTGCAAAAACTGTAAAACTGTAATGCAAACTCTAGGTGGTGTGAAATATGATTAAATGAAATGAATGATTTATTGGCTTCTAAAGATTCTTGTTAGGTTGCCTAAGCCATTCTTTTCGATGTTGTCTTCTTTCCGTGCATTTCCTTTATCTCTCTCGATCAGATTTCCTTTTTTATACTTTCGTGTTTCACATGCACGTAGCTTATGAGTCGCCTAAAGCACTTGAAATGACTAGTTCTCTATTTTCGTTCATTTCTGTCGCCGTATCTGTCCCACTGTGACATTTTCATATCAGCTATCTTCACGCACACCCTTAATTACGCATTTTTTTAAGCTGCCTATTCACCATCCTTGTTTTGACTGGCCATAAACAATGACTGTCTTTATTCAAGAGTCAATAACAACCCAAAATGTAGTTCTTTAACATTTTCAATGAGTTTTAAGTCTTTGATTTGATCTTTCGCATTTCTTTCTTTCTTTCTTTCTTTTTCCCTTTCTTCCTTCCTTCCGATTTTTGGCCAAACTTAAAAAAACAAAAAACATTAAACTTATTTGCTTGCATGGAAACAATACAGCCACTTCAGTTTCAGTTTTATTTTGCGCTTTCATTTAATCTTTCATTCTTTCATTTATTCTTTCTTTGTTCTTCTTTCAGTAATTAAAGAAAACGTGTAGTGCTTGATATCTCTCATCTCCTATATGAAAAATAGCGCTTTCTCATCTTCATTTTTTTGCTTTAAATCTTTGATCTTCAATTTATTAGCAATTTATTAGCTAGATGACTGTCTATCGATCGCGATCGTGCAGTTTTGAGACCTATCGAATCTCTAGTTTAATAATTCTGGTTTAATTAGCTTTACCTGTCGGATTTTTCTGTCATTTATTACTATCCCTTTTCACATCTTTAGGCGACAAACAGTCCTTCCTGATGGTCCTTCTTCCCACTTTTTTTATTCATTTGTGTGACAGGTCTTATCCTAACAGGGAGTTAAGTCCGACATTCTGTCTCATAATATTAAAGCTAGAAGTAGTACGTGTTCCGTTCTCTCTTATGAAAATCTAGCTGACAAAAACAGCTGAATCAAGCTAAGTTTAGACGGTATTTCAGGCTCAGATTTCATCCACGATCAAGGGTGGTGTAGTGGTAGCACAAGCACCTATCGCCGTTCTCTGGGGTCTTGAGTGTGGTTCCTGGAATTAGTACCTTATAGATGTCGAGGGTTTTTTTCTTTTGGTAATTTGTTTCGGTAACATTGCATTTCGTGTTGATAAGATATGAAGATAAACAATAAATAATAATAATAATAATAATGTCTTTATTAAAGAAATGATAAAATACATATCATTAACATGATTATAATCATAAAACTAAAAACTGATTAAAAGATTACTAATTACTAAAGATTATTCTATTTACAAATGAGTTTTTAAAACGTTGAGAATTAACTCTAGGTCTAATAAAATATGATTTCCTTAAATTATATTTGGACGTTTGTATTTTAGGCGCTATTATATGCAAAGGATGGTCACTACTAACCGATTTCTTATATAACCTTGTGTCAAATTTATTTAAAAGATCCTGGATATTATAATGGTATGTTGTATAATTTCGTTTGTAACAGCGATCTAAAAAGTTTTGTACGGTGGTAAGCTCCGGAGGTGATGCTCCATAAACACTAAGACCATAAATTAGTTTTGATATAACAATTGTTGAAAATAAATGGTCAACTTCTTTTTGTATATATCCTTCCTTCCTAAGGGATCTTATAACAAATAAAGATTTGTTTATAGCTATAATGGTATCTTTTACATGAAGGTCAAATCTACTATCACTCTGGAAAGTAATACCTAAGATTTTAAGACTGCTACACTGAGGAATATTAGAAATAGGCTGAAAACTAAATTGGTCCATTCCTTTCTTAGTAAAAATTATTTCTTTGCACTTAGTAGGATTGCATGACATACTATTATTTGAGGACCATAACATGAAAGAATTAACATAACTGACTGAATTATCAGTTAGATTTCCATTAACACAGAAAACAGGAGATACAATAGTACTATCGTCTGCATATTTGATTAACACTTCCTCATCAGGACTGGAGGAATCAAATATCTCTAAATCATTAATAAAAATACTGAATAGATATGGTCCACTAACTGTTCCTTGTAATGTCCCTCTATTTATGTTTTTCCAAACTGTTAAATGATTGTTGCATATAGTTCGCTGTTTCCGATTATATAAGAAATTTATAAACCAGTTGATTAAGTATGGGTTCAGCGGCATTTGTTTGAGTTTTTCAGAAAGTTTATGATGATTAACGTAATCAAAGGCTTTGGAAAAGTCCATACTAAAGACTCTCACAGCTTTACATGTTGTATCATCTAAGGCAGCTAAGACACGATGTTGTAATTTAATCAAAGCGTTAATACAATTTCCTCCTCTCCTGTAAGCAAATTGGTTATTATTCAGATATTCTTCAAATGTATCTCTGCAAAATTTTCTGTAAACCGCATAATGAATGAACGAATCAACGAATGAAATGTGATAGATGGAATGGATAAATAAATGAGTGATAAGAGATGGATGGAATAGACAGAAAAGTGACATTATTTTCAGAGATGTCAAATTTGGTCGAAAAAATGTCTATATTGTTACTCACAGTAAAATTGAAGCAGGAAAAACGAATAAACGAATTTTATCTATTTTCTAATCTTTTTTCTAATCAAATTTAGTACTATATCTAAAGATCTGTTGGGTGTTCCTATTCTATTAGACAGTTCCCGGTACGCCGTGCTATTTGATGTATTTACTACTTAATTTAGGGAAGTTTGTTGCAAATTGCATGCAGCAAGTTACGGCTTTTTAATGTTAGCGAAGAAACGGTTATTTATTGGGGAGGGGGGGGGGGGATTCGGGAGATTCGTAGTAAACTTTTTTAAATGTTTGTAGCCCTTTCGCTCAGTAACAAATTCACGGCCCTCTTATTTATTCAATAAGGAACTACATAGCTTTTGTCAAAAGAAAGAGGTTTGACCCTCTACGACGTTTACTCATGACTCTCCCCTCTGAAAACCATACCTTCCCTTTGATTAGGTTTAATGATATCTTGTACAAATTATATTAGACGGCAAAGGATGTGACTCTAAGGAGACCTTCTTTGCTAGTCATTAAGTTCTTGGAGAAATTAAGTATAGTCGAGCAGAAAATAATGCAGACTAGTAGAGTAAATGGATGAGTGAATAAGTCAATTAATAAATGAATGCACGTATAGAAGGATTGAAACTAAACCTTCATTGTTATTTGTGATGAAGTTCTTTGAGAAAATAATGTCCGCAATTAATGAATGGATAAGATAGGCGAGAAGACAAACGAATGCGGGAATGAGTGGATGGAAGAATGGATGTGGATGGATGATAAAATAAACAAAATAAGAGATTAACGAAAAATTAAATTGCTGGATATGTACATCATTAAATGTTATCCATATGATTGGAAGGAGAATGAATGCGGAACGATTGAATAAGTTAATAAATATTCAAACCAATATACACAATGTGAGTGCGAAAAATCCAAAAATAACTCAATTTATAAATCAATTAGTCGATTGTTGAAGAGACTAGCAAATCGATTAGATACCAAGAGGGCTTTGAATAGTGTATAATGAAATTAAAATAACAAGCCCGTCTTTTTTTCTTTTTTTTTTTTTTTTTTTTTT